CTCAAATACAAATTCGTGATTTTGTGAAACACAATCTCAAAGTAATGTTGTTAACATATAAGGATAGAAATTTGTACCCTCCCCACAGATGCCTTAGCAATACCTCTTCACTAGAGTCCTATGAGATAGTCCCGAATATCCCACAGGACTCTATTCTCCATCGTCATAGACATAACCGTGAGATCAAAGTCCACTGCGGGTTTAATATGATAGTTGTTCTTTACTTTTCTTTCGCATTCACTGCAATAGATTACGATTGATATCGTTCATCATCGATATACATTAACAGTAGGTAGAAATTCGTAAACCGAAACATATTTTGATTAATACCCGTTTTTTTACGATACCAGGAGCTTCGTCGTCTTTCATATATTATTCTCATAGGAATTATACTGAAAGCTTTTTAATTACATTTACATTTTTCTTTAAGAAAACTTAATAGATTTTAGTTCTAAAATGCATTCTAATATTTCATAAATGAATACAGAGATCATTTTTTATTTACCTATTAATGATTCACGATCACGAAATAAAGTATTTTTTTGTTTTTGTTGTTCACTTATTGATTTCCATTGTACTTTCATTGTATGATATTCTGATTTTCGTTTTTTAATTAATTCAGTACGTTCATCACGTGTTGATGACCATGGATAATAATTTAATAAAAATTTCCATACTTCACGTCTTAATATATGTGATTCTAATCCACCACGAAATATTCGTTCTTTTAAGTTTTTAACATCCATTATACGTCCATCTTTATCAAATGACATTTGCCATTCTTTAACTGTTAATGGTTGACCACGTGCAACATCAGGTAATTTTTTAAAATCTACCTAAATTATAAAAAAACGAAATATTTAATTAAGAAAATTTAAACAATCATTTTAACCTTATAAATAACTTCAAAACCATCATTATTTGATTCTCGAAAATCACCATTAAGTGATTCCGTAAGAGCAGTCATATTAGGTTCAAATTTTCTATCTGAAGTTTCTGTTGTTGATATTAATTCATTTGGACCAAGAAGTGTATCTTTAAGAAAATTTGTTACACGAGAAAAACGTTCAATCGCTGTTCGACGAGAATCATTTCCTTGCTAAAAACAAAAAAAAAACTTATTAAAAATTTAATTTCTTAGACATTATTTTTTTTTAATGTACAAATCGTTTCATAATATCATTTGAATTGTCAAATAAATTAAGTTGATCAAAAGCACTGATCGATTGTGAAGAAATATCTCGTCGCAAATTATCTTTTACAATATATAAACGAGTATCTTGTGTTGATCTTTAAATAAAAATAAAAATTGTCATTTCCAATAATAGACAAAAATTTAATTCATTTATTTTACTTCTCAAGTGGTAAATATTGTGCAAGTTTTTGTAAAAGTTCTTTACTTCCACCATGATTAAAATAAAATGCTGGTAATGTTGTACCATCTTTAAGAATAAATACCATATGAGCTATTCCATGAACCATATGATGTCGACGAACACTTCGTAAATCATTGAAATTAAAATGATAACGAAATTTTAATAGTGGACTAGATGAAACTGCTACAGAATCTAATACAATATTTTTAAAAAATCTTAATTTTTAAAGAATAAAAATTAATAAACCTCCATCATTTTTGTCATAAACAACTGAATGACCACCATTAATAAGTGCCCAATCATCCGTGATAACATCTTCAAGACCTAATGGTACAAAACGAAAAAATATTCCACGTTCACTTTCTACAACTGTTATTGTCCCGGTTATTTCATCAAGTGGTGTAGCACGTATTTCACTTTGTGGCGATCGTTCTTTAATGGTAATATTATTTCGTTCAAATAAGATTGTATCTTTGGGCATAGTAATGCTAAAAAAAACACGACAAAGTTATTTATGAACTATAGTATTGATGCAGCTCGACATGTCTCGATTCAATAAATTTCACGCTTAATTTTAGAAAAACAAAATCACAAATTTGATAGCGAAGATAACAAGCAAATTAGAAATGAATCGAAGGGTATACCATGTAGTTTTTCTTTTCATGAGGTAAAAACAAATCATATGTGTATTTCTAACGAATACATCAATAGGGCGAGCGAGCGAATGAATGAATCGATGATAACACGTGAAGAGAAATGATCCAATCATATCTTATAAACAAAACTCTTATAACACAAATTTATAGGTTAACGTCGAATAGCGACCTCATTGATTTTGAAACTTTTATAATGGTATTCATCGAAGTTCTGAAGCAAAGAGTATAAATAGCAGGACTCTGCGTAGTATAAGACGAATGGAACGCAAGTATTTTGACAAATGTGTCATAAGATAGAGTGATATAGAAATTTTGGGATATTATCCTATCCCATGGAATAAACGGCCACTTATATGAAGATATTTTTATCAAGAAAGATATTATTAGTTTTTTCATATAGATAGCGTTCTTGTCTATTTCAGTGGAATTAGCAAAAATAGAATTTTGTTCTACTCTGTAAATGATTGTGCATTGTAGCCATTAGAGCATAGTAAAATAGATAATAATGGATAAATAAATAAAAGATGCCATTTTGCCTATTGTAACAGTTAAAACCAATGAATTGATTCAAGTTTTAGTAATAACTGATAACATGTAGTCTGATGATTTATCGTAGTCTATTATTGAATAGAGGTATGAATTTATTGTTATTGTTATTAATAACAAATAACAAAAATAGTTATTGTTACTAATAAGAATAACTTTTTTTTTGTTATTATTATTAATAACAATAACTGTTTTTGTTATTTGTTATAAATAACAAAAAAAATAACAAATAACTTTTTTTCTGAAGAACCTTCAACTAGGGATGGGAAGTTACATTGACGTTTCTAGCTAACTGGTAACTGTTCCGTTACTACTGAGCCGGGAATGGGGGAACAGTCAGGTAAGTGTCTCTCGTAACCAAACCCGTAGCCTTGGACCCTCAAGTCCAACTATTGGGGGCTACTCTTGGATCCTCAAGTTCCATTCGTGGGGAGGGGGGTGGTACCCTTAGGTCCTCAAGTCCTTCTATTGTGGCTACCCGAATCCTCAGGTACTTTCACAGGAGACATTTTTGAGTTCTGCAGTTCTGTTGTTTTGGGCAGCAAATATCTGCTATTGCCATAACTGTTACTAGGTTGTTGGTGACGGTGTATTTATTCGTTGGCGATTAACGGTAAGGCCGGTATTTTTTGGTTACTCGATAAACATACTGCTTGTGCCAGTGTCATCTCCGTAACCCACGGGCTACATGCGAACCTGGAACGGCTATAATAATGGACGATGCCGAGGCGGCGAGGATGGGTATCGGTAGTGATGAAGAGCAATGCATTGGATTACAGGAAGGTCCCCGCTGACCATCGTATAAAGTTTCGGCAGTCTTTAATCCTGTTTTATTCTGGGTTCCCAAATTTTTCGAAACGCTTTGTTATCGAAGAACTCGGATTTGGGAAGGTCCTGTCGGATGAAGTAGTCGTAGTTTTTTCAAGGCTTCCAGATTGAGAGCAGTGTTATTCGATAGCTTTTCTTTGCACTAGCAACTATGCATGAGAAGTTACTGCTAGGTTAGTTCGTAGTCGGTTACGAGTAAGGAAAGTCCTACATTTTGATTTTTCATGGTAGGGACCGGTGTATTGAGAAACTAATTGTCAGGCGACACGGTTTTCTTAATTACGATTACCATAATTTATTTGATCTGTTTGGCTCAGACAACTGATTGCTTAACGTGAGCCTGGCTGTGACTGCAGCAGCCGGATGGTTCTGTGGATATTACAGTAAAAAAACTAGCAACCACACCCACCGGCAACATCCACATCCACATCCACACCCATTATCCAGGAATTGGATGCAATTCCGAAATCGGACGGAATTCCTGAATCGCATGCAATTTCGGAATCGCATTTCGGAATTCTGGAAATTGCAAGAACTCGATCATTGTCGAATAAGCCAAGTTAGTTCGATGATTCTAGAATTTCGGGAATCGGATGGAACTGATTCCGGGGACGGAATTGATTCCGCAATGTGCAACATCGCGAAATAGGATGACTGCTCTGTGAGGGAAGAGAATACCAGCACCCTGATTCACAAAGAGAAGAGTAAAACAGAGAATACACATCGAAGATAATATGATCTATTATTAATGTCACATATCATGACAAACAGCTGTTAATCGAAATTTTATTATTATGATATTTATTGAAGAATAATCAACTATCACAGAAAAATAGTGCATCGTTTTTACTATCATTACATGTAAAAGAGAAAGTTTCCTCAAGATTTCTCTATGAAAATAAAGTACCTACGTCACTAGTTTTGGATTGTCCTAAGCAATATAATATTTTGTATAGTTAATCAAACAAATAAATTTCACTTTTTTGAAAACCATTTGATAAATATGATGTCCCATGAGATGTGACAGGAAGGGAAAGTTGTAGAAGTATTCCATGCCATGGAATAAAAACTTTTTGAACGGTGTTCCATCCCATTCCACATGCAGCTCTGCAGGATAGAATATCTACTCAAGCCGAAAACAAAATGAAAGAAAAAAAATTTTCGCTATTCTATGAAACCCTGGAGTATTGATTATATCTTACTTGCATATATATTTCTTCATAATTGAAATATATTTTAAATGTATTCTTCATATAACGATTGATTACCACGATTGTCATTTAGCTTAGAGCAAAATCTACCGATGATATATAACTTTAAAGATTCTTCTCATTGAATTAGTCCATATAAATTAATTATCATATAACAAATAACTTTTTGATGACAGCATGTCTTGTTCTATTAACAAGCAATTACTTGTGATATTGACATGATAGAATCAACATATGCTCTTATAATGATATTAATAATGATGTTACTTTCTATAAGGTAAGTAGATGTCTATAAATAAAAAGCTAGAACAACATTTTGTTTGATGTAAAACAACGTTATATAACAACGCAAACATTCTATAGTTGATATTGAATAAGAAAACATGTCTTTCACAACATGTATTATGTTTCTTCTAATATTTTCAAATTGGGTTATCGCCGAGAATATCGAAAATGAAGGTATGAACTGTAATTAATATTGTTGGTGTTTATTAGATAATTGAACATTGTATTATTTGAATAGATATTTTAATTATTAGTCAAGTGTTTTTAATCATTGGCATTACTGTTGCATTTGTCATTATTATCATTAGCTCAGTTATTTTCGCTTATTTCACGTAAGTAGTATTTGTTTAATACACTTTAAAAGATTTATAAATCTACCTAGTTTAAAATTTATCACAACACAAACCACTGAACCACAATATTATATTAATGATACTTCAATTGATAAAGATAGTAATACATATCATAATGAATATAATGATACTTCCTTTGAAATACAATACTTATATCAAATTCGACCAATTCTAACTGTTTCACATGTCATTTCATCAATTAAACAGTCTTTTACATATTTATATTATTCTCTTATACCATCCAAATGGTTACCTACACAACACACAAATAATCAACAAAGTCCAGACGACATAATAATGGATTTACCAATTTAAATAGTTTTTCTCTGTGTTGTTGTTTTTTTCTATCTCTAAAAGTATATTTTCGTTTTCTAATAATTTCTAATATGTTCAATTCATTTTCTTTAATGGAAAATATTCTAATAACTAAAGTCTAGCCATATTGTATCTTGTACCTTCATCCCAAGTAATATCATTAACACGAAATAAACATTCATCATATAATTATCTTTTTGTCATTATTCTTATAGTTAATATTAGAAGTTTCAATGTATAGAATATAGTTTCATGGATGTCAAAAGTAAATATGAATAAATATTAACATATATTTTATTTACATTGTTCGCTTTGAAATCAACGTTTGTCATCAAGAAATTTTTGTCGCCGAATTGAGATTAAGCAAATGAAACATTGATATAAGTTTTTATCGGTCTATGTTTGGAATTCACTTTTGATGGTATTCAATTGAAAATGTTTCTTCCAGAGAGTAATATATTATTAAAGCGTTTAGAGAAACATTTCAATTTGTTTTGAATATAGAATGTTAGTCTTAAAATTCTAAGTTCTTAGACGCTTCACAGAATCATTTTTGATGTTTTTATGTGGAAAATTGCTCAAGAAGCCAGGCGGCTACAGTTAATTTTTGATAGAATGCTTCCATAAGTATTCAATTATAAAAACAAAAAAAAGTATCAGAAACTCTTTGACATATTTCACTTTATGAAGCTATTTGTGCTGATCATCTTTGTAAGAGAATATTTTTATTTTTATGACCAAATAACGGTATTAGAGTCAAATTACTCGACAATATCGAATTACTCGAGGATTCCAGAATAATATGACCTTAGCATCATTATTTGTTTATGAAAATGGAAACATTTTTTAGCGAAAATTATACGCGAAAAAAGCTCTGTAAAATAAAATATATCAAAAAGTTTTCGAATAGCTTTGTATCTTTTATGGTTGACTACTAAGAGAAGTAATTGAAGAAAAGGACTAAATTCTGTATTGAAGTTGATCGTGCTAGATTTCACGCATGTCAATAAAGCTGATGGTTAATGAATAAAAAACTTGGAAGTTTCTTCAATAATCAGGAAAAAAATTAGCTCATTTAGTCAAAATGCGATGAAAATATGCAATGTCTTCTTTTAGTAAATGTCTTTCCTGACACCCCGTATGTAAATTTTTGATAGTTTTCAGACCTTTAATACGAGAACATGCGTCCAACTAAATTATCTAACCTTCTCACGATGATGGAAGGTCCCCAAATGTGACTCACCAGTCAATCTTATATTTTGTCTATAAGCTTCGATGAGGCTACTAGAAACCTGGAAAAATTGATTCCGATGCGACCATCCTTCCTAATTTATTACCTTTTTACTGAGATTTTTATCGCTGGCAAGGTATTTATGAGAAAGTCGAAGTACAGAATTTTAATCTAAAATTTTGCCCATAGATAAGCCTCGTAGATACCGGAATATTCTGAAAATTTTAACCTAATGATATGTCTCCTCCTTAAAATATTTAATATCCAAAAACAATCATGTGTCACAAGAAAAGGTAAGAAAGTCCAGTGTTTTCAACCCTCGATATTTAAAGAACACAATTTTTTAGGCTAAAATTTACAGAGCATTCTGATGTTTACGACACTTACCTATGCGCATCATTCAAGTTGAAATTCTATACTTCAATTTTTTCATCAAAACTTTACCAACGATAAAAACCTCAGTAAACTTGTAATAATTGGTGAATAATAGTGCATGAAGACAAATCCTTACAGGTTTCTATCAGCCTCATCAGAGCCCACGTATGAGCAAAACAGTAGCTAGATTGGCAAGTCACACTTTTAGACCTTCTCTTATCAGTTTCAACAACGCTTCCTTCAAAAATCTATTCTAAAATACATCAATCACAGAACATTCCATTCTTATTCATATAGTCGAACATAACAACAAATCATATAATACAAAAATTTGCTGACAATAATACCTTCATCTTTCTATTTCTCATAAAACTAATAAACATTAAAGTTTAATTAGTTTGTTTGCATCATTGATACATCCTACAAACAATCATGATAAACGAAAAAGAGAAATATGCTCTAAATATATATCGATGCAAAAAAAAAATTCTATTTTGTTTGTTTTTGTTTGTTTGTGTGTAATAATAGTTGTGTTGATTCAATGCAAACCAACAGCAACAACAACAACAACAACGATGAACAAACAATAGACACATACATACGCACACAGTTAAAAACGAACACTGAGAAAAAAAGAGGGAAAAAACGAAGAATAAAGACAGTTAAACGCATAGATTTGTTTAAAAGAAAAAGAACTTGGGAAATAGAAATGAATATGAGAAAGGTAATAGTTAGGTAGGTGCTTAGTGCTGATAACAGCAATAAGAAGAAGAAGAGAAACCTATAAGATAACATTGCAAAAAATAGGAAATAGAAAAAAACCCACAACACACGAATACAACCATGCATAAGAAGAAGTGTAAACACCAGAAACTTATACAGCAAAAAGAAAAAGACGAACAATAATATACCTTTTCTTAATCAATGTGACGACAAGGAATAATTTAACAAAAACAAATAAATGAACGATGCAAAATACAAGACAAAACACACGAAAAAAAAAAAAAAGAAATAATAAAGTGACAAAAGAACTCGGATAGGAAAAGATTATGTATGTATTATAAATAGGTCGTCTCAATAGTAGAATATCAAGCAAAAGAAATAAATCATGAATATTCGAAAGTGTTCTAATTAATATTCGTTTGTTTTTTCTTAAATATATTTGGCTTATTTTAAAATGACGTTGTTTTTGTTGTTGGTGGTGAATTTCCATTATGATTAATTGGACTATTACTAGCTGCTACTTGAGTCTGATTTGGATTTGAATTGTTAATGTTATTAGTAGTGGTATCATTAATATTAGTTCGAAGTTTTTTTAATTGAACTTTCAATCGTTTCATACCAATTTGAAAACCATTCATTTGATTAATTGCTGCTTGTGCTGATGATGGATTATCATAACTTACAAAACCTTAACAAAAAATTAAATTAATTTTATAATTAAAAGAAAATAAAAATCTTTCTATTTACCAAAACATTTACTACGATTTGTTGTTTTATCAACAAATACTTTAGCTGATATAATTGGTCCATAAGGTGCAAAAGCTTGAGCTAAGTCTGAGTCACTGTATTCTTGTGGAAGATGATATATAAATAGATTGGCACCATCAGGACCTTATAATAAATACAATAGATTATTAAATAAAATAATTCAAACAAACCTTCAGTATGTTTGCCAGCTACTTGAGAAGTCATATATGTTGGGGATGGAAAGACAGAAAAAGAAGCTATAAATAAACAAACATAAACAATTTTTCTTTTTCTCATAATGAGTAATCGGAAAGTTTTGTCGATAAGATGTTTGATCACTTTTGACCTACTAGAATATATTTCCGACGAATCAAAAGCTATGAGTAAGAAGTTTTGTTCAAGAGTAGTGAAATAACCTTGGAAAAGAGCCTAAAAAATTTGTTTGGATGGAAAATTTTTATATTTTCATCACTGTGATTCGAAATTAAAGGTTACTATCTTTATTTATATATCAAAAGATATCGTATACTATCTTCAATTTTCCTAAATAGATATTTTTGAAAAGTCGACAACCGTTTTCCATTGCAAGGAGTTCTTGAAAAAATGCTTGTAACTTCACTCGTGTAAAAGCTACAGTTTACGAGGAAACTTCTTTAGATTTTCGATGATTTTGATCTGAAACTTTGTGCATATAGAGAACTCAACTAGACTGGCTTTCATAAAAAAAATTCACAAGTTTTCTACAATGTCTCTTCGAGATAAGAAGTTTTCAAAAAATGCATGTTGTATACCTCAGTCCATAGAAAAGGATCTATATTTTGAAACTTTCATACCTCGAAGAGACGTTGTTCAAAACTTCTGAATTTTTTATAATGAAATTTAGTCTAGTTGAGTTCTCTATATTCGCAAAGTTTCAGACCAAAATTCAAGAATATGGATTTTTCCGAAAATTTGAGGCTTCTAGAAAATAAACATATTAAAAACTCGATAGCTTAGTCAACCTAGATCTTTTTAGACCTTTCATTAGAACATTATGTAGTATTTATAGGCATAAAAATCATTGAAATCGGAAGGAAGGAGTTAAAGAGGTTCCCTCGTTAGTTTCATATCGCATTTTGTAGAAAATTGTGTCCTCTACAATAATACGATCGATTCTGATAAATTTTAGCATGTTCAAAAAGGGATTTATTGGGTAATCAAAAATTTATTGGCTCACCATCAAAAATAATTTTTCAGATCTTTCAGAAAGTCCTTCGTTACTTTCGAACTAAAAATTGAAACAAAATTTCTAAGTCCATATTCGAAAAGAGTACACATCCATAGCTTTAGACCCGCCGAAAATACCTTCCGATCACTCGTTATAAAACAATTTCTTAGATCTTATTATCAGTTTTTGTTTTTGTAAAAGCATAATTTTAAAATTTATTTACCTGGTGCTACAGGTGAATTTGCAGTTGGACTTGGATGTATATTAGTTGGTAAAAGACCTTTTAATAATATTCAATTATTAATTATATTCTACAATCATAAAAAACTACCTCCATTGTTAATTTGTGACATAGCAACAAGATTTTGTAAATTATGATGCGCATCTGAATTATCAAAAATGATATACAATATAAAACTATAATCTAATACCTGCACCAGCATTTGATAATGGACTACTACTATTAGCATAGATTGAAGGCATCGTAGGTGGATAAGGTCCATTACTAGGTGTAGGAGCAGATGATGTTAAACCACCATTTTGATTATGATGATTTGTTGGTGGACCATTACTATTATTAGGATTTGGTGCATTACTACTGTATGCACTTGTTCCACACATAAGTGATGAAGATTCATTATTATAAGTGCCACTATTTGGATTAGGAGGAGGAGGCGGTGGTCGAGGTGAATTCATTGTATGTTGTTGTTGTTCTTG